CGCCGCCCCCCCCCCCCCCCCCCCCCCCCCCCCGCCCCCCCCCCCGCCCCAGCTCCACCGGTGTAGGGGCCCAGTCACGTGTATGCCAATAATGTCATCATAGCTCATTTCGCGTCGGCACTCGAGCTGCACTGCTGCAGGCGCCTGCAGCTGCATGCCAGCCGCTCCCACTTTCCGGGTCGCTCACGATGGTCTCTTCAAGTTCGCTAAATGAAATTGGAATCTGCAATATCGCGTGTGGCACAATATGTCCGAATCATCAAAGACAATTGGCGGTTTTCGTCGCCGTGTGCTACCGTTACGTGGGCAGGCTGGCCCTGGCGTCGTCGGGCCGCCCCCTTTTCCCCTTGCACCGCGTCCGTGGGCCGTGCCGACTCATGATGACCAGGCAACCTAGGCTCACATGACTTGCAGCCAACGTTCATAACCTCATGACATTAATCTTTCCTCTATTGGCCCAATGGCCGTATCTATGAGCTGTACACTGCCCATTTTCTCCCCAAAAATCACAGGAGTCTCCTTGAGCTCACTCATCTAGGGTACAGTCTATCATCATGCCGCAGCCCATTAACCAACCGTTGACACGCCATGCTCACAATTCTCATCCTGGCAGCCCCGTCAGTCGACCGGCTCTTCTTGAACAAACCTGCAACCCCAGCAGCGCAGCTTGAACTCCTTGTAACATGGCAGGGGGTCCTTCAAGTCGATGATCCTGCCCATACCCCCAGTATTCCACAAGCAGTCGCAGGTCGAGATGACCATGTCCAGCCCGTCCACCACCAGGGCCTCATCAAAGTCGCCCGTGAACCACTTCTCGCGGAATGCTGTCACAGGGCACCCCATGGCGTCTTGGTCGTCGTGATCGTCGCCCGTCGTAAAGTCGTCCTCCCATTGCGGCAGGTCAAAGTCGTAGCGAGGCTTCTTGCGATCCTCCAAGAACATCTGCCATTCGTTGCGTATACCGGCCGTGGAGAGAATGTAGTCTTTGCGTCCTCTCTTATCTGCAGAAAAGTCGTAGCCGCATTCCTTTTCCTCTTCGGTCTCTAGCTTGATGCGCTTCTGGATCTCCTCAGCCGAAATTGGCTTTTTACAGCGCCATTGTCGGACGCGCGAGCGCTGGATCTTGATGATGAGTCTTTCCGATTTGAAGTAAGCTTCAGCAAGGCGGAACATCCAGTGGAGACCCTGGAGAGTGTTGGTGCGGCCGCGTACAATGGCCTTGTCGATAACCTGGCGATTGGGGAAGTAGATCTTGTGGAAGCGTCTGAGATCGTATGTATGGTAGACTTGGTAGATGTCTTGCGTTCTGGTGGAACGATGGTAAACAGCGGGGGGGTCGCGATTGGGAAACTGCACAGGGGGGAGGATAGTCGGGTTTGTTCTGAGGTGAACAAGAGCTTCTTGAACTTCCTCGTCGAGCGGCTCCTGTGGCGACTCTGACTGCCAGATAGCTTCATGAAAGTCTGCGATGGACTTTGCGAGCGACGTTAGACTTGTGATGCCAGGCATTTTCGCGGTTGATGTAGCGCGCCTAGGGTGAAGACGGAGGAGAGGGAGAAAATGAACAGTTAAAGGAGAGGTTGTCCTAGAGCAGAGCCAGGCACACGAAAACAACGAGACATCCTGACGCGTCTTCAAGATCAGACGAAGTCAAGTGAGGTGAAGGGAAAGTGAGATTGATGAGATGGGCCATGGCGCTCTTGCCCAGAAGACAAGGGATTCAGCATCTCACTCTGCTACCCAGTGAATCCGTTGGCACAGACTTGGACATGTGGGCGAATGAATGCTTGCTTGATACATGCCGGGTAATGCTGCCTCTCCTGCTCTTGTTGTTGTTCTTGTTGTTCTCAACTTGTTGTCCTTAAAGGGGGGCTGAAATGCCACATCGAACATTGCGCAAGGACGATTTTATCACAGAACAGCATCAATGACACTGTCCTTCCGAGAGTCTGTTGGAACTGAACACTTGTTCATCATTTCTCGGAGTCTCCATACCGGTGTGTTCACAAATAAGTCACCGGTCTGGCGACGTTGCTGCATCCAATTCATCAGCACTAGGGACGCATTGTGCATCAGAATCTGACGCTCTGTTTCCGAACCAACCTTCGATTTCAATATCTCCCCAAAAAAGAAAAACCAGATACGATCATTTAAATGTTGTGGAAGCCATACAAATTCCTGCTTATAAGCTTCTCACATTAAAAGCGACACCTTTGCACCAAAAAGCTTTCCAGGCCGACCGATTCTTATATCTCCTCAGAAATCCCTCAGACAAACCGGGCCTTGAATGATTATTTCGAGCCCCCCAAGGCATTTCACAAAACGGCGTGCACCAGTGTTTATTTCTACTGGACCACAAGGCCCTCCAGGGTAGTCTAGCGACTCTAGCACCTCGCCCGTACGGTGGATCACTACTGCTACCGATTCCCGAAGCATGCTGACGTGGACAAGTTAGCCTGTAATTCGATTCATGTCCTTTACGATGCAATTAAGAGAAACAACTACGTATGCTCGACATACAAGTATACGAAGGGACGAAGATGCGGAGATGCGGAGCTATGCAGCGGTGAAGCGGCGGGGGTACGGAGCCGCTGTGTCAGCATCTCACGAAGGAACGAGGCCATGACTGCAACAATGCAACTGCAACCATGTGAAGCTTGGTAATCCAGAAAGGAGTGCAGATGGCTATATAAGCACAGAGTTCACGTAGAAGTCAGTCTGACCATCACCTATATCATAACTACTTCTAGACCAGATCCAAGATCGAAGGCACGAAGCACATCACCCTGATCAACCTTCTCTACTTCTCAACCGCCGCTCACATCCATTCAAAATGAGCGATAAGTCAGTCAAAGACACAGAAAAGTTCTTCCCCCTGGCCGGCCTCGCGCGGGACGGCTGGTCGACTGCGGAGGAAGCCACAGCGACATGCTATTGCGGCGCTGTCCAGCTTGTCTTTGTAAGTCTTCCAAGGTTATCCCAAAACATTCCAATCTCTAATTTTCAGCCTCTCTCCAAGCCAGGCTTTCGCGGATCCTTTGTCTGCCACTGCAGTGACTGCCGCAAAATCACAGCTTCAATGTTCACTTCGGCTTTCATCGTCCTCGACACCCACCTGAGACAGGTTCGCGGAGAAGACAGTATGAAACAATTCGGCCAATCGCGAACAGTCGACCAAACGGAAATGACCAACTTCTTCTGCGGTACGTGCGGGTCTTTGATGTACCGTAGGAGCTCGGGCTTCCCAGGAATAAGCATCCTCAGGATTGGGACAGTAGATGACTTCAAGCTTGCCGAAACTGCGTTGAAGCCAACCTTTGAGCAGTGGGTGGAGCACAAGGTGGGCTGGCTCAAGGAGATAGAAGATATGGCTCAGATTGAAGGACAAGCGTCGCTGTCGTGAATAGTGAGGTTAGCTTGGGCTCAATACGACACTCTTCGTTTATACTGTGATTGATGCCCAGATCTTGAAAAGGCAAAATCGGCCTGTCTGATTGAATTGCAAAGCAAAGATGATGATTGCGCCAGATGAAAGAAGGGAGAGCCCCTATAATATGGAATTACTTACAAGTCAGAACCGAAAGATATCGTCGCGGCCAATCTATTTGTCGCCTCTTGGCGGCGCTGGGGTTGGTAGATGGTTGATCATGGTTCTAACATCGGGGCTACCGTATTAGTTCCCCCATCACCACCACGCTCTACATAAGAGAGCACCGTTATACTTCTGCATCGCTGATAGAAGCTTCGCAGTACGAACTACGGAGTACATTTGGGTCCATGTCATTTGCCATGCGAATCAAACAGCCCGCAGTCGTCCCCTACCACAATGCTGGGTGTTGTTGGGCGCGCGAAGAAAAAAGGAAGGAAAAGAACAAGAAGTCTCACGACTGTACGGAGTAAAGTCCGTGATACTAGATGCTAATTCGAGCGACGGCCCGACGCGTGGAAACACGCTGCCTCCAGTAGCGTCATAGACAGCGAGGAGGCTAGCATCCACCATGATGTAACGGACGAGCAACCCGAACCCCGCTGCCAGCGATCATCATACCAAGACAAACTCATTGAATTCTTCAAATCTTCACCGTCAACCACATCGCACATCCATCGTACACTCACTCATCATGGCCAACCTCGCCAAAACCATTGTCGCGACCGGCGTCTCCTCAGGCCTCGTAAGAGGACTTCTCCTCACCTGCAAGCAACCCCCCCGCTGACCAAGCCAGGGCTTCGAGGCCATGCGCCAGCTCCTCGAGCAGTCGCAGCCTTACAACATCATCCTGGGCGCCCGCAACACCCAGCGCGCAAAAGAAGCCTATGATGCGCTCAAGTACGACCGCGACGCCAACCCCGTCACGATCCTGCCGCTGGAGATGAACGACCTGGGCAAGGTGCAGAGCTTTGCGTCACAGGTGCAGCAGCACCTCCAGGGCACCAAGCTCGACTACGTCCTTCTCAACGCTGGCATCACGGGCTCCGCGGCGGCTGGGCCGACTGGCAGCAAGTGGTGCGAGCCGTTCATTGTGAACCATCTCTGTGAGTCGTGCTCTACGCCTGGCCGATACTGGACAAGAGACTGATGGCTGTAGCGCACCATTATCTGATGCACCTGCTCAAGAGCAAGATTTCCGAATCGAAATCGCGCGTCGTCTTTGTTTCGTCGGGCGCTGTTCGCATGGTTCCCGACGAGTATATCCGTAAGTCAGACATTAAGCGCGCGGTCCTATCTTGTCGCTCACGTTTTCCCCCGCAGCCAAACTCGAGGAGTCTGTCAAGGCTGGCGCTGACACGGACGGCCGGCTGGTATACGCAATCACCAAGTTCATTGGCCTCCTCGGTGCTCACTGGTGGCGTCGTGAACTCGGTGACAAGGCCACCGTCGTCGCTGTCTCGCCTGGTCTCATCCCCGCTACCGGAATTGCGCGTGGCTATGACCTGAAGTTGAACCACAACTCACCCGACGCCAAGTCCCCTGCTGAAGGTAATTAAAAAGCAGCCTGTTTGAATTTCTTTGCTGACTGCTTCTAGGTGGCGCAAACGTGCTCCGCGCGATGGAGAGAAATGACCTCCCCGAGGACCCAGAGCAGATCTTCCTCACAAGCTGGGGTGAATGGTGGCCCAAGGACGTGTACGGGCAATCTCTCGACAAGAAGTTGCAGGACCAGTTCTGCCCCTCCAAGGAGCAGATTGAGAAGGAGGAAGGTCTCGCAGCCTAATCTCAAAATGCAACGGAACAAAGCGAATTTACAAGAAGAATTTCGGGCTTCATTACGACTAAAATATAGCAACTCCATTGGGAGGACTTGCGACTCCGCCGCGTACCTGTTCATCGTCAGCGCTGATTGACTCAAGCACGTACAGAAACTCACATTCAGAGGCATGCTGCTGAAGAAGAATGTATACCTCTTCTTCTCCGCGCAGGTCTGACTCAGCGTCTCCAGATTGAACAGTTCACCCAAGGGCATGCCCCAACCAGCAAGACACCACTCATGCAACCAGTGCTTCGTGTCTTGGCACGGCCATGCCTCCATGCTCGGGTGGTCACCTGCAATGGCTGCAAATTGCCCATCCCACAGCCAACGCAGAGTCTCCTCAGAAGACTCGAGCCCGATGGCGGGCGGCACAGTTATGTCAGCCAGTGCCTGTCGCTTCTCGGATGTCGCTGCGTTGTAGGCGCGGACGTAGCCGCTTCGCACGAAGACAATATCGCCAGGCTGCAGGGTGGTATTCTGGTACGCGAGGACCTCCTTGATAGTCGACACCTTGATGGAAGTCGTGTCCAAGGCTTTGATCTCGATACCCTTGTGGTCAGCCCAAGCTGCGTAGTCAATGAGCACCCCACGACCGACAATCCCACCTTTGTCGACCCAAGCTACTTGATCAGCATCAGTCGCTCATTCATACAGGTCACTCACATTGCATGCCCATTTCGTCCGTTTTCAGCAGCTGCTCACTTGTCCAGCCATTGTAAAACACCCCGTGCTCCTGGTACCCAAAATGTCGGAACCCATCCCATTGCGAGCTGCTCTGCGTATTGAAGCTCAATGCATCGTCGTGCACCACGCGGCCCTCTTTGAGCCAAATGTCGTGCTTCAAGGACTGTCGACCGAAGCAGGGCCTGGCGAGGTGACCGAGGGTTAGGTCAACCGAGACGCGGGTGCCGTCGATGATCTGTTTCGAGGCGGCAACCGTGGTCTCGGGCGTGAGGAGATTCAGGGTGCCGAGCGTGTCGTTCTTCGGGTACAGTCCCCAGGCGTTCCCTGGAGGGCCCGATTTGTCGAGCGGGAGGTCATCAAACGAGGGTCGCGGAGCCATTTTGAGTGAGTGTTGTGGACTTGTGGTCAGTGATGGAGTGCGAGTGAGAGTGGTCGCTCTTGGGCCTGGCGCTGGGGGGGTTTGGTTGGGACCAAACCCGGGCGTTTTCCGCGTGATATCATAGGGGCTTCTATCCAGACAATCGCCCAAAGGGCCGACGGGAACAACAAGACATTCCCCGCATCCTGGTGGGGAATCTGGCCGTTGGCGTACATGACTCCATCGCGACTGATGATGGAGGTGGGGTTCGGGCCATCGCGTGCCGCGAGCTGGAGACTTGGTTGGTTCGAGGGTGGTTTAATTGTTGAAGCAGATGATATATTTTGATGGGATGCATTGAAATGGTCTAAAAATCTCTCTCCGACGCAGCGATAGGATGCATTCTTCGAACACCTGACCAAGAATGCCGCGGACCTAGCCTGCCATGTACACTGGCACTTCTTGCTTGTAGTAGTTACAATGCACGGCCAGCTTGTTCGCCGATTGCTCCAAGCGACGCTCTCTTCGCGTCGCTGCGCGGTTTGCTTTGTCCAACTCTTTTTTCTGTGCGAGCAGGATTGATCGTTGCTGTGGTTGAGGCAGATGCCTGAGACTCATCTGGTCGCTCGTACTTAGATTCGCAAGTTGCCGCTCAAGTGCCCCGTCTTGCCTGTCCTTCCTGGAGAGAACTTGAGAATCTCGGTGATTCTCGCTAATTGGGATTTCGGGCAGCGGCTCTTTTCTGTCCTTGCGTAACCTGCTCTTCGGTGTGGGATGAACGTAGGATCGATGAGCGAGGAGCTTGCCGGACGGTAAGCGGAGAGTCTCGTTGTCGAGATACCTCGACTCCGCCTGGTTTCCTTCTTTCCCGAGGATACGCATGCCGTAAAATGCTCCCATCTCCTCGGCTATGTCGAAACGACAATGGCCCTTGGACGTCATGTGGTGCTGCACGGCCTCCACTGTGTGCCGGCGCTTTCCACAACCAATGCACTCTCGATAAGAAAATATGACGATGTGAAGGAACGCTATGAGGGTCTGTAAATCCGTTGTTAATGATGACTGGAAGGGCACGACAAATCCGTGCGCTTGGTGCATATGCTTCAGGTTGTCATCAAAAGTGCTGCCAACGTTGTTGCAGAACAGACATTCCTCAGGCAGGAAGTTGATGTTGCCCTCTTCAGAGGATGGTTCATCGCTTGATATGTCTAACTCGCCTCTCTCATCGGTGAGGTAAGTTGTCTCAGGCGGCCAACGCGACTTCCGCTCATCCTTTGGCCGGCTTTGTGATTGCTTGGGCATGCTATCAGGGGGTGTGACGACGGTGCCTGGATCTGCGACTGTGCAGCGGATTCTATAAACACTGGTCAAGTCAGTAGACGAAGCTTGAGAGCGTCTTCGAGAACATTGAAGACTACATACTGCCACTCGCTCTTTGCGTGTTGTCGCCTCTCGTTCAAGGCGTCAAATGACAGCTCGCAGAGGTGGCACTCGAGTGATGGTGCGCGATCTGAGGTGTGGCCATCCATCATGACGCTTGTGGTGCCGACAGAGACGTCGACTGTTGGTGTTGCCGTGACTGTTCCAAGGACCATTGGTGGAAGGGTGGTGACTTGAACTTTGCTCAGATTCTTGGCACTGACAAATTGAGCTTCATAGGCGAGAGAAGAACGCATGTACCGGCGGCAATGAGTCTTTATATAGACATACGACTCACACGACGAATTATGAAGCTGGCTAATATTGGCTTACACCGGGACCAATGGCGGAAGATGGCTGATTATGATTCATAGTACGCTAGGCCTTAACAGGAATGACACCCCGCCCCCAAGGCGGCTTCCGGGCATCGGCGCCATGCTTCTGGGGTTCCCAGGGACGTTCCATTGGTGGACTAGCCAGAGGGGCACCCTGCGGTCTCTCTCCTCTAACTTAGGCTCTGGGTTCTTGTCACTTTCGAGCTGTCAGTCAACTTCGAGTAGGTAAAATGCAGGACATGGGGGATGGATTGGATATAAGATGGGACTTGGTCATGATTATCTTGGCAATGAGACTGTTCTTTTGCACGCCTTATTATGACTCACGCTTCCCTTCTGAAATCTGCCTCCACGTTCGAGTTTTGAAGAATTTAGTGCTCAAGCAGAAGAAGGCGTCACTTCACGGGTCCTCAACAGTGTAAACGCAAAAGCCACCAGGACCACTCGACGACGTCGATCTCGCCTGAGACCTTGAAAGAATTTTCAGTTTCACATTTTCTGGACAGGCCCAAACGCCCCTCCCACTTCCACGAACGCTCTATAACACAGGGTAAACCAGTCCTGCCTCGGGATGAAGCGCACCCGCCGACTGATTGTTCAACCACCTATCTAGTACAGCCTTATGCTCTTGTTCTTGCATCTCCCAGCCTTGCAACCCTCACACAGTGCCGTCTCATGCGGCAAATCGTCTGGTGTTCCCGTATAGGCCGGGACTTCCATCTCAATGCCAGACCACTTCTTGAGGCGATAGCTCACTCGGTCGATGTACGATTCGACATCGAGATCCGGTCGGCTCAGCTGCTTGCAGGATCGGCAACGCTGGTGATAGACTCTGGCGTTGTATCGTTGAGAATTGTACATGCGGATGACGATGGCAATCTTCTTGCTGGACCAGCCCTGCTGACTGCACTGTGCATTGTGACACTCGAAACGTCCCATGACAAAGGTGTCGTACTCTTCGGAGCAGTTGCGGTAATCATCCTGCGGGTGGAAAGTGAAGTTGAGCCCATCGAGCTGTAAACGTTGTGACACATCGGCGTGCAGATTCGTGAACATGGAGTGCGTCTTCTTCGGCTTGCGCTGTGGCGCCTTGCCCTGAGGGTTCTGGGACTTTGATTTCGCCATGTCATGTAACGACAGATGGTATTGATATTAATGAATGGACTTTCGAATTTCAGTAGACTCTGGCTGAATGTCCAAAGAGCGTGCTAGGTGTGGAGAGGAGATGGATTTTAAGCAAAGTGCACTGGGCCGTGACCTGTTGGCAGTATGATATCGCATGTTCGTGGGCAGTCACTCGCTCAGGACACATCTGCGGGGGGATTTGCTGGTCCTGTGTGATGAAGCATGCATGGCAAGTTGTTGGCGAACAACAGCTTGTCTTGTGGCAAATACAGGCTAGTCAGCTACAAACAAGCAACAAACGGAACACTGGGGCGCCGCGCATCCACTATTTGGGACCAGCCCGTGAATCATGCCAATGGCATTGTCCGTTCTTCCGATGTTGTTTGTTTCCCTTGTCCGCGATTCGGGGGCAGAAGTTGGGCAGAAGTTGGGCAGCCATGCGCAATGACCGGCCTGCTGCATGAGGCCCCAGCAAGCTGCCAACAGCACGCACAACATCCGTAACACCTCGAGAAATACAGAAGAAGGGGACTGAGGAGGCGATGTCTCCAAGAATAACGCGGCCCTGATACAAGTCATGCTACGTGTTCAATAAAACGCCATGGAAAGTAACTCCACTCAGCACACCAAAGCTTGAAGTCAGAGCGTAACATAAGTACAGTGCCTGTCGAGGAAACGTCACAAAAATGGCGTAAGACGCGGCTATACGATCTCCCGATCACGAGACAGCTGGTGCTTAGCCTGTCGCGATGAAAAGGACATAGAAGAATCACGTCCACCCAGTCTGGCTCTCTTGAATACCTCTTAGCTCACGTTGTGACGTCCAATTCTAAAAATTGATAATGCCCATCTGGGGGAATAAGGATGTCAAGATCTATTTGCGCCCACGATTTCGAAGCTGGACAACAAGCGATGTTCGGATGGTGAGATACAGCGCATCAACTGTCTGGTGGCAACCAAGGCAAAGAATCGAGCTGAAGGCTACATATATGCAAACGTTTGAGGTTTAATTAGAAGCGCCTTGTGTCGGCGGAACACAGCGGACGTCCCTCTGTCCAAGCCAGGTAATTCAAAGAGATAGACCACCGTAGTTCAATCTTCATATGCAGACAGCTATAGAAGTATAGCCAGCCCTGCACCCATGAGGGTCCCGAGCGAGAGGCCGGCAGGCGCTGGGGCGGTATCCTCGTCATCCGCATCATCACTGGTGACGGTTTCAGCACCGCCCGTAGCAGAATCGCTATTAGATTCAGTAGCATACATATGGGAGGAAGACGACGCGGAGGCCTTGGATAGCTTAAAACACGTTCTCGGGGGTACCCGCAAATCAACGCGACAACAAAGGGCGACGGGGCGCCTGCGCAAGCACCTTATGGTGTTGTGCCTATATTCGACTATAGTCGTAAGGCTACTATATTTATTTTCTCGTATATACAGCGTATGACCGTGGTGGTTAGGGGAAACCATAGAAAATACGCATAGGGCGTATACGGTCGCAAATTGAGATATTACACGATCCCACCCGTACTATATTACTTAAGCACTTATCCTTATAGCGTCATAGAATGGCCTAAGGTAATAAGTAAGCGACCTTGCCTCCGAGAGCCTCCCCCGAAAACCTCTATCGGAGATAATTAAAGTAATGTGAGGTTCGGGCCAGATTGACTATAGGGTAGGTAGATCTAAGTCGGTTTATAGACTAAGTACACTAGGATGTCGTAGACTTGAGCGGTGCGGGTCACAGTCTGGTGCAGAGACACAGCAATCTGTGTGGATAATTGATCCATGCAGCCGAGAGTTTGCTTACTTGTTGATTGGGTGAAAACAAACAGCCCCTGCCGTGGTCGCAGGTGTTCAACCTCGCATGCAGGCCGCATATTGGGTCCTGAGAACACACCCATCGAGGTCGAGTGCATCCTATTACGTAGATTGAGGCTCTCCCCGCTCTGTGATAATCTCCTTGCTCCCTATTACTCAATATCATTTCTTCTTCATCTTTCCCGCTTCTCAAGCACAGCCAATTATCTTTCGGGTTCTCTGAATCAAGCCTCTGCTACAATGGGACCGAGCGACAACAAGCTTAGCCATGTCCTGCTAGAGCCGTACTGTATCCTCTGCCGTAACCATGCACAATTCTCTCGGGAGACAGTAACGAAGCCAGAAAACCCTGTGGCACCAGAGCCATGGGAGAAGGTGGTTATGTGCTGTGAGTACATAGAAGTGATGTTTCATCCTGCTTTGATTGGTTATATTTAGGTGTGAACACGACTACTCACATCTCTCCATAGTCTTCAGCACAGAGCCCACCACAGAGCCTACCGGTGCAGACGGTGGGGGAGAGCAGATCTTTCGATTCAAAACCGACACACCAAGGGGTTCTGATACAGAGCAAGAATTCATTCATGGCGAGCGACCGGTCGACTTCGATGACGAGGGCATCCGTGCTATTCTACAGCAGGCTAAATTGATGCTCTGTTATGGCTGTTCCGACTGCGATTTGGAGCGCACTGCAAACATTGTGCACATTCCCTGTCTTCAGGCTGCCAGATCGAAGATTCCACGCCTATCCGTGCGCCAGCTCTGTGACATGGCTTGGCTTCTGCGCCCCATGCTGGCGTGGTACAACGCCGGCCAGGTCTTTCCTCGGCAGAATCCCATCACCCGGTTGCCCAGAGACTCTGATATTTCGTCGACTGAGTTAGGCTCGTTTCTTCGGGACATGAGGGCGAAGCTCCCTCTCGACATCGAAAGATTGATCTGCGATAAGATTCCTCACGGGCTCTTCTCATCCCTCTCCGGCTGCTTGCAGACAATATCCAGTCTCGAGAAAAATGGCTGGCTGGAAGATGGAGTTCGTGCGCGCAAATCCCTTTTTACGCTCATGCCGTTTGAAAACACCCCTTCACCTAAAAGTATTGGATGTGATGTGGTTAACATTCTCACGGAAAACTATATAGCACGAATCACGGTCAACGAGAGCGTTCAGAGTAGCCAGCAATCGATTCAGTTGCTGAACAGACCGATGGAGGGTGTGCAGTACGCGATAGGAATGTACGGCATGCTTGCGCTGAGGATATGTTACACAGATAAAGCGGTGTCGGCGTGGCTAGGGGAACCTCCTCGGAAATGGATACGATTTATCCGTGGCTCCGACTTGTCGAAGCTCGAGGCTCGGTCTGATGTATATACGCCCCTGACTCTGCTCTGTTGCGTTACTGATATCAGGGCTCCGCTAGCAAGAGTACAAACTGATAACTATCTAAATAGGGACATAGGCTATTGTCACTGGTCTTTCGCAGTGACGAAAAGGCTGGCGAAGAAGACGGCGCCTCCGAAAGCGAAGAGAATAAAAGCACCGCCTTCTGGGAGCATGCTCCGACTCCTGGCATCGAGGACAAGGCAGTTTTGATCGACTTTTCTATGCGAACGGCGGCCATAAGAGGCAATCCCGGTGCGCGATTTCTGCGCAACATTACCTTACCAGTGGCTGATGGCAAGCCGCACTCAATCACCTGCTTCTGTCATTTTGCTGGCACCGACAGCATCCAGATCGACGGAGACACCAACTCCCGGATTGGCGATCCCCTGTCATATTCTTCCCCCGTTACTTTCTACTTACAGCCGGACGAGGTCGTGGATTCGGTCTACGGTCTTATGCGTGGATCGGGCTTTGCAGATTTTCCTTGCCCAACGCCCTTTGCACTGGCAAGTCGCTTCGATCTATGATGTCTGATGGCATAGTTTAACCTCTACTTGGCAGATGCGCACTACCCTCGGCCGGTACCTGTGCTTTTCTCCATATTTCCTCGGCCCCAGCGACGAGTTCCCATCGGCTGTGTTACTGTATGGCAACGAGAGCACGCACCGCGCCACCGGACTGTTCTTCGATGCCTTAAATTCTTATATTTCCGTTCCCTTCTACGATGACATCAGCCCCTCCATGGGTGTCATTCAAGAGCCAAGATCAAGAGATATGACATCGCCTCCCGAGACTCCAATTTCTCTCTGCCACTCTCTACCCCATATTTGGAAGGACGAGGTTTCTACAGTTAACCCTTCTGGGGCAATCTTTAGTAAAGCAGCTCTAGCAGGAGTTCAGGAAATAGTGCAGCAGAAGGAAGGCGATAGAGTCCGAGGTCTTCGAGCTCGATTCCAGGATGACACTATACGAGTCCTTGGAGCCTGGGATCCATCGAAGAGTCCCGATGCGTTCAACACAATCTTCTCAGCAGATTCTGACGTCAAGCTTGAGTCCATTACGTTTGTCATGGGTCAAAACCAGGGCAGATACTCTTACATGCACCAGGTTGTCAGAGAAATCGTGGTCAATCGTGGCTGTGAGATGGATCAGGCCAACGTCTTCACATGGGAGAGACTTGACGAGGTATGTCAAAGCAGAGCGATTTCAGCATTGACGTTCACTCGCTAATACTGTGCAAAGGAAGTATGTTGGTACTTCTACTATAACGAAGACGATGTTTGTTACTGGGAGGGTAAGGAATTCACGCCGAGGATTGAGCCGTGCAAGGAGATCCGTTACCAGATTGAGTAGTAGTAGGTAGCGCCCTTTCGGTTATTTTTCAAATACATGTTTCTGGCTTCTAACTGAAATATGCCTCCTGTACCTTCAAAACTACTAATTACTATACGCAGTCGTGTATGGAATTCATTGAATTACCCTGTATCTGGCCCGTGCACGCACATCATCTGTCAATGTGGGCGGTTGAGTCTGACGCTACATGTATTAACTACACCACCCCTGGCGGAGATAATTAGTCCGCAGCCCTCGACTGATTGAGCGACCGCCTGTTCGAATTCCGTTCTACATGAAGCTACTAGGAGTGGTTATCAATATAGCTTAACGTGATAAAGCACGCGTTTATAAACTCGGGATGGAGGAGGACTGGACGACTTTTTTTTTTTGACAGCGGGCCACAGCCGATATCCAAAGGATATCTTTATAACCGATTGTTTGCATTGATGCATATTTACTTGGCGCACGCGCGCGCACCCAAGTTCTCGCCATAACAACGGAACACAAACTCGCCGTTCATTAACTTTCATCGCCCGCAAGAAAGCGAAATCCCGCGAGACCTTCCTGATGAGTCCTATAATAAACTCGTGCATTCTCTGCGGATCCTACATCGGGGATTCTGGCGAACCGGACCCTTCTTGGGAGGGCTTGTTCCGCATTTGTGAGGCCCCATTCGACTCCTCTCTCACCGGTGCTGATCGAAGCCAGTCCATTCAACCGATAGGCCAACCTCAGTCACGGGGGTCGGCTTTGCTAATAACCCCGGAGCTGCTCACTTGGTAGCTCCTCTTGACTTTGGTGCACGCTGGGACACCTCAGATTCCCGCGTTTCAATTGATGTCATTTGGCAGCAGTCAGTCGATGGCCGATACGGCTTTCCCTTCCATGAAGCTTATTAGTCACTTTTGGAGCAGGCCTGTTCACCGAAACAGATCCCCCACAGACGTCTATTTAAAGTTTATCGCTCGCTAACATATTCGAATCGAATGGGCTGTGTTACCTGGGATCACGGGTTCGGGGGACTTTTCTCCGTAGACGATAACTCCTACCCTTAGGAATACCTCTTCGTCGACCAAGAGCTCACTTTTGCGAGTTCTAACCCCTTCCATATGCCGGAAATTCAGCAGCTCCTTCACGAAAGTCCTACGTCGCTAGATATCTCCAGAATGATATCGACAGGTACTAATATCTTTGCTCACTTTCCACTGGAAATCATCACCTCCATTTCGCTACATCTACCTACAAGCGACTATCTAAGCGCCCGCCTGGCTTTACGATCATTTTATCCCGTGTTTTATACCTCTCAGTTCTAGGCTTCTAGATTTCTGCCCGGCGCCGAGCGCTCTTGGGTTTTTAAGTCGCAAGATTGGGACGTGGCTTGCGATTGGTTGTGGTTATACCGCCGCACAGTCAATGGCTCGCCCGGAATAAAGAACCGCGAGAGGGTGTGGCGTTTGGCTAAGGAGGTCTTGGAAATACTATCCTTAGAATGGATTAAGCCTATTTCATTTCCGAAAAACGATATCGACAACGTCGATTGGCTAGAGGCAGCCGCAGACGTACGTTCCGTCAGAGAAAGGCCGTGTCTGGGATTCGGAGGGGGCTGCCGTCGTTTTCATGAGAGGCAGGCAATCATCCCCCTAGACCAACTCTCACATTTAGCATTTTCTCTTATTCAGAATAGGGGCGCCACATACATTACGGGAATCACGTTCCATCCAAACCAGGGCCAACCTATTTGCTTAGGATACATGTCAGAGACGCAACGCATTCTAGACATCAAATACCTAAGCGGATTTCGCTTGGCTATTAGATCAAGAGGCATCCAAGGCATCCGATGCATTCTCGATCATGATCGAGACTCACCATGGATAGGGTGTCCAGAGAATGCCCCACAGACGGAACGTCTGTTGTTATCTGACCCTATCACTGGCATAAAGGCTGGATTCGATGTAAGATCATTTCCCCCCTCACCGGAGTTTGATACTAAAAGTATAGGGTTACAAGATGGTTAGCCTGGCAGTTACTAGTCGACTTACCCCAGGGCATGGTAATCTACGTGGTTCGGCTTTCTGGTATCCTCGGGTTCCCGAACCAGGCCTATGTCTAAACGAGAACAGCTTCACGGCGCGAGAGAACGCCATGAACAGATACGAGCCAATCTGCTGGACGATGTTCGGAGGGCCCGCAGGCACGTATCTCCACATGTTAACCGGAATATCAGTCACTATCGATATAGGCTGCCCAAGAACTATTGAGTTCCACTACAACAGCGACAACGTACCCCCGGAATGCCGCAAAGTAGGGAGATACACCGCTTCCGATTACGCCGAAACCATGTACTTTGAGATCGACGGGCCCGGTAGAGAAGTCCTTGATTCTTTGACAGTTTGCATTCGTCAACATCCCAACCATTTCCGATAGTACAATGAACCCGGCTTCTTAGAGTCATACCAGGTATGTCACCTCTATCCTATACTTGCTCTATCTCATCGGAAATAGGTCTCGACTAATCATAGAAATAAATTTCACTTCGCGTCGGCCTCATATACCCTAGATAGCACTGGCTCTGTCGAGAAGACAATACCGGTGGTTCAAGGCTCCCCGATACACGGGCTCTACTGGATTCAGGTATGTATTCAAGCTGCGCGTAGGTTGTGTTCACTAAGTATCTGCAGCACGATAATAGAATCATGGCGCTAGGGGCGATTTCGGAGACGGCTTGATGCTGGCGGAGTCGAGAAAACTACAAAGCGTATAGAGTACAAAATGCATATTCTAACACAGAAGATGAAATAAGGCAAAGACTCTTCTATAAGTGGCAACTAATTCCACCGAATCATGTCTCGGAAATACGGCGCCCGCCTGACTCCCCAAAATGCCATTTGATGTGACCTCGAGAAGCTCTTCCAGGAGTGTGTGCATCGAATATTCGTCCTCCTTAAAATGCAATGGCGCTCCAATATACTCCATACGGCGAGAACTGAAACAGGATAATGTGTCCATGCCTGGGAAGAGAGTGTAGTACCGGGAATAATGCCCCACAGAGACAATGCCGCCATAGATAGCCTCGTTGGATGATGCATTTTCCACACGCGCCTGCTTCAGATAGTCCAGGAGTCGTTCTGTTGCCGCCGACCAAGCAGAGTATGAGCTCTCGTCGCTGATGCGGCTGTTCCCGATCAGAACAAGCTTTGAGGTTTGTGTGACACCATCAGTGTGACGGACACATCGGACAGCAAGGTCAGCTCCAATGTCCGACATCTCACCTGGGTCCCCCAAAGCCCCAATCAGGTAGTTTTGTTCGAGTCTGAAGTAGGCATGGAGAATGCAGTTCCACAGTACGTCAACTGGATTGTCAAATGCATCGCCTGTGAGTTCACTGTATAAATATACAATGACTTCCCACCTCATGTACTAGGCCGCTCGTTAGCTTGGCAGTAGCTTATACGTCGCTTGATGGCGAACTTGCCCCCCAATCCTTGGCCTCGTCCTCGTGTTCATCCTCGCCCTTTTTCTTGCTCATGTCGCCCTGCCTGGGGGCGTCCGAGTTGAGCTTCAGAGCCAGTTGTTCACTAGTCTCGTGCTAAAGGCGAGCTGAGTCGCGGAGAAGTGCTAAAGAAAATACGAGTCACGAAAGAATACCTATGGTGAGGATAGGTAAGGTACTTATATTTCCGAGGGCTCTAGTCCGCCCAGTCAAACCTCCACGTTGCTCCAGAATACATGTAACCGCCCTGGCCTTGGGCAATAAGCGCTTGCCACGCTGGCGCTGTGGCCCCCCGCGCGTAACCTGGCCGCCTCGAGGGCCGTTTCGCCATCAATTGTTCTGAGCCAGACAATCTATCCTTCTGCGCAAATCGTGACGCCACCAAAGGCACATAGCCATCGCGTCTTCGATTCGCGTGTCGCCGAATCACCCAAAGATGATAGTAGCTGCATATTCAATGACTGGACAATGTATAGCTTGAGGGCTCGTCCAACAATTTTTCCGAACCATGCAAAGCGATGGTACAGATATTCTACGTAAAGATGAGGACAAGACTTGAATCAATATTTTCTGAGTCCTGACTCCCACTTGCAGTCGTCGCAAGCAATGGCTGTCCACGACCACTGTCCTATCGCAGCAATGGATAATCCAGACTGCCGCGAGAAAACACAGCGTTTCCTGACCGGTCATCTGCACGGGAACGGCCGTCTATAGTACTATATACTACGTCGCCTGAAGCCAGGAAAGCTTGTCTGTGAGTCGCTCCAAAGCTCGATGCGAAGGGCCGCGTCATTCGAGACAACGAGTCATCATAGGTCCTCCCAAATACGGTCTCTTTCCCCTGCCTGATTAGCATATCCGACGTCAGTCTTCGATTGTCGTCTCAAGGACTCGGAAGAAAACATCCCACGAGATGGGTCCGTTAGTGTATGGTCTCAGCATGGAGCCAGTACCGGCAGGAAACCCATCACCGTCAGGTCGAGACTTGAGCCCAAGGAAGATTCCTCGCGCGAGCCAATGGGGTAGGTACCGGTGTCTAAGGCCGTCTTCATTCTGACGATCATTTTCAGGCAGGACGAGAAAAGTAGCTCGAAAAGTCTCTGCAATCATTCCGTAGAAGCAACGAAAGGGATCGTGTACGCGTGGGGCCTGTACTCGTAGCGTGGTCGGGCTGCTCCCGAATGAGGGAAGAGGAAACCACACCGGTGAACCCCCAGTCAATTGGTGGTGGGAGATCAAGTGAGACTGAAGCAGACGGCGAGGCGACAGACGTCGACATTTTAGCTCGTACCAGGCGTAAGTGGGCATCCGTGCGCCCTCGAGTCACCCTGAGACATGTCGACGTCAATGCGCGTGGTGGTCAGGACTCAGCGACAGCCACTGATGTGATAGCCGTGATGACCCTTATTATTGGCCGACATGAACAAGGGCTCTCCATGCCTGGACCATGTGGTTCCTATTGTGTCGCACGGGTCTCGACCTTGCGCCGTCCCATTCTTCTCCTTTGGTTGGCTTGTCCTCCGGATGTGATAGCATTGTTGTCTGGTCGGATGTGACCACCACCACGCAAGTCCCGGGTGTTTGGGTCTCGCTACCGACATATCGGGAAATGCGACCCTGGGCATGCAGACTTATTATTGAGGACGCCTATTGACAAGAACGACTGGCAATCAATCTGAAAACGTGTTCTTGCTTCCAGAATGCTTTCAAACCTTCTCTTTGTCATTGCTTTTCTATGTCTGAGGCTCAGCGAAGATGTATAGTCTACACTAGATTCAACGCCAAGGGACCGGTTGTGATCTACCGCGTACTAGGCTACTAGCGCAAGATCAAAGCTAACGGTATCGTATTGTCATCTTGGTGGTGATCACAGGCCATCTTCTGGTCCGAGTGCTCTATCAGCATCATCTCGCGATGGTGGGTACGCAATGACCACCGGGGACTGAGCTGTCTATCCGTCTGGCGGGCTAGCTTGTTGGACCGTGCGGTATCATTGCCCGCAACATCAATGGACCATAGTTCTGGGAATGCGATCAATTCCGCATTCAGGTTAGAATAGAATGAGAGGGGCGATGGGAAAGACTATAAGTTGAGCACTGTGTCCGGCGTTGTTCTCCCCTTTGTTGCTGCTCTGGGCGTCCTCTGCACAGACACACCACATTCTTTCATCATAAACAACCCCCCCTTAGACACATAATTCGCAAGAATGAACGGCCACACCAATGGGTTCAGTCCCGAGCTGGAGGAGGTCGCCATTGTCGGCATGGCCTGCCGCACAGCTGGTGGCAACGATACCCCTGAGAAGCTCTGGCAGTTCCTCCTCGACAAGAAGGACGGCTCCGGCGAGGTCCCCTCACACCGATGGGAGCCCTGGTACCGACGAGACACACGCAACGCCAAAGAAATCGACAAGACGCTCAACAAGGGCTACTTCATCCATGACCTCGAGAACTTTGACGCCTCCTTCTTCGGCATCTCGCCCAAGGAGGCCGAACAGATGGACCCGCATCAACGCCTCGCCCTCGAACTATCATGGGAGGCCCTCGAACACGCGGGTATCAACCCCAAAGATCTCGCCAAATCGGACACGGCCGTATACATGGGCATTGACTCGGACGACTACTCCCGTCTCTTGATGGAGGATATACCAAACATTGAGCCATGGATGGGCATTGGTACAGCAGCGCATGGTGTTGCCAACCGTGTGTCATACCACTTGGATCTCATGGGTCCCAGTGCCGCCGTGGACGCTGCCTGTGCCTCTTCACTGGTCGCCGTTGACAGTGGCCGACTAGCGATCCAGCTGCGCGAGTCTGAAGTTGCTCTCGTGGGTGGCGTCAATGTCTTGCTTGCTCCAGCCCTGACACGAATGCTGGATAAGGCTGGAGCGCTGTCCCAGGAAGGCATCTGCCGCTCGTTTGATGATGCCGCCAACGGTTACGCTCGAGGCGAAGGAGGCGCTGTGCTTGTCCTCAAGAACCTCCGGAGTGCACAGAGAGACGGTGACCGCATCCTGGCCGTTCTCAAAGGGAGTGCTGTGGCGCAGGATGGCAAGACCAATGGCATCATGGCTCCCAACACAGATGCACAGGAGCTCGTTGGTCGCAGGGCTCTTCAGCGGGCTGGAGTCGACCCCTTGACCATCGGCTATGTCGAGGCCCATGCGACGGCGACACCACTAGGCGATCCAACTGAGATTTCTGCCATTGCAAAGCTGTATGGCCATGGAGTCAAACGGCCAAAAGAGGCACCATGCCAGGTTGGTTCCATCAAGCCCAACATCGGTCACCTCGAGGCAGCTGCTGGCGCCATCGGCATGATCAAGGCTGTGATGGCTGTGTACAAGGGCCAGCTGGCGCCTCAGACGTACCTCGACAAGCTGAACTCGCGCGTTGACTGGGCCGAGTGCGGACTGGAGGTTGTCCGCGACGCGAAGCCGTGGAAGCAGCGAAGTCTGCGAAGGGCTGCCGTCTGCTCGTACGGATATGGCGGTACCGTATCCCACGCGATCATTGAGGAGTGGGGGAATGTGCCCGTCGATTCTCAACTACTACCAGCTGAGGGAGAGTTGGTCCCTATGATCATCACGGCTCCACTGGAGAAGCGCCTGTCACAACAGGTCAAGGAGTTGGCGGACTGGCTTGCCACCCCAGATGGCCAGGCGTCAAGCCTTCACCTTGTGGCCAACACACTGGCCCAGCGAAGAGCGATGCACGATCATCGCCTTACCGTGCTCGTCCGCAACCATGACAATGCGACTGACCTTCTTGGACGGATTGTGAGCAACAGCCTCAAGAAGGAAGACCTTGTTCTTTCAGGGCGCGCCCTACCAGCCTCTACGGCGCAGGCAACATCCCCTGTCTGGGTGTTTTCTGGCCATGGTGCTCAGTGGCTAGACATGGGTCGCAAACTACACGGCACTGACTTTCAAGATGCCATTTCGGAAATCGAGCCTGTAATCCAAGAAGAGCTAGGGTTCTCTATCCGCGAAGCACTCGCCACGGGTGACTTTGAGAGCTCGGAACGCGCCCAGATTGCAACGTACGCGGTGCAGTACGGTCTGAGTCGCATGTTGATGGCCAAAGGTCTTCGTCCCAGCGCAGTCGTTGGCCATTCGATTGGCGAGATGGCCGCCTCCGTGGTCGCTGGGTGCATCACGCCCAAAGAAGGCGCTCTGATCATCTCACGACGTGCCAAACTGTTGGCATGGGTGCGAGAGAACGAGGGCGAGGGCGCCATGGCGCTCATCCAGGCCCCCTTTTCGCAAGTCAAGGCCGAACTCGGGAACCGCAAGGACATTGTCGCGGCCATCGACTCATCCCCGTCGAGTTGTGTCGTGAGCGGACAGGTCAAAGCGGTGGAGCAGCTGATGCAAAAGTTCCGCGACCAGGAGGTTGAGACTTTTCGTGTCAAGACCGACATTGCCTTTCACAGTCCCATGCTGGATCAGCTTCAAGACCCGCTTCGCAATGCGCTGGATAGCGCACTTGATCCTCAAGAGCCAACCATTCCGTTGTACTCGACGTCTCTTGACAATGCTCGTGGCCGTCAGCCACGTGGTGTTGACTACTGGGTCAACAACATGGTCAAGCCCGTGCAGCTACGTTCTGCTATCCAGGCTGCTGCGGACGATGGGCATCGCATGTTCCTGGAGGTTTCTTCGCACCCCATTGTCCTTCATTCTGTGCGCGAGACGCTTCTCGAAGTAGGTCTCAAGGAGAAAGACTTTGTCACGACCTGCACGATGAGACGCAACACCATGCCAGAGGAGACCATCACGATCGCCATATCCAACCTCTTTGTGCACGGTGCCCACGTCGACTTTGGGACATTCATTGGTGAAAAGGGTCACTGGTGCACTGGCGTTCCTAGATCCCCGTGGTTTCACAAGCCGTACTACAGGCAAGTTGAGACTGGTGCCATTGAACAAGCCTCCATGCACGACGCGGAAACACACCACCTGCTTGGCCGACGCACGGCTGTTGGGGGCACGGACATCTCCCTGTTCGGTACGAAACTTTCCATTGAGACCAAGCCGTTCCCAGGGACGCATCCTCTCGATGGCACGGAGATCATACCTGCCGGTGTCTACATCAACACCTTCCACCACGCAACAGGCGGGCGAGAGCTATCAGACATTCAGCTCCGTGTCCCTGTGTCGATGACCAACGACATTCGATCGATTCAGGTTGCTGTCCAAGGCGACAAGGTGTCCATAGCCTCAACGAACGAGGACACTGGCTCGAAACCATCCCGCGACGAGTTCTGGATTCATCATGCGGCTTGTCAATGGGGTCGTATCCAGGACAACACCCAAGCAGCCGCGTTGCCCATTGACATTCCCGCCATTCGCGAGCGCATTGTCACCAAGCTACCCAACTCCTTTGCCGTCGACTTCCTGAGCAAAATTGGCGTCGCTGGCATTGCCTTCCCCTGGCAGGTGGTCGAGCACTACGGGAACGAGACCGAGATGATTGTGCACGTGGACATGCTCCCTGGGCAGGATACCCTGCCTTGGGATTCGTTCTCGTGGGCACCTCTGCTTGATGCTGCCACGTCCGTTGGCTCGTCCATCTTTTTCAACAAGCCATCGCTCCGTATCATCTCCTCCATTGAAAAGGTTCTATTGCACTCGCGGGAGCCTCTGCCCAAGATGGCCTATCTCCACGTCGAAGAAGCGTCCAACGACAAGGCACTGGCCGCCAACGTCCACATACTGGATGAAATTGGTCATCTGATCGCACAAATCCAGTCCATGAAGTTCTCCGAGGTCGAGGGAGGCGCCGGCCTCAGTGGCAGCGTGGACAGTCTTGTTCACCAGATTGACTGGGTGCCTGCCCGGTTCTCCGAGACACCGAGGCCGCTTGGCCATGTCGTTCTCGTCTCGCGGAGCTTGCAGCAAGTCAAGGCCGTGCGATCCTCCATGCAGCCAATGGCCAAGTCAGTGGTGCACGCGACGTCCGTCAAGCAACTCGCCGCCACCCCTGAGATGCTCGATGTATTGTCGCAGAAAGGCAGCACGGTCGTATATCTGCCAGGATCCGTGGACAGTGTAGAGCAAGTCGCTGCCGCTGCTGATGAGTTTGTCTGGGAGACTGCCAGTCTGCTTCAGTGTCTGGCGACGCACTCGCTCTCCGAGGTCTGCAGGATGTTCATCTTGACCAACGGCGTCTTTGAGGGCTTGTCGCCCACTGGACTGGCTCAGGGTGCCCTGATCGGCCTCGGACGCATCATCGCTGCTGAGCATCCTGATACGTGGGGAGGGTTGATTGACCACGACATTCCCGATGCTTCCTCGTTGCTGGCCTTCATGTACGTCCGCGGACATGACATTATCCGAAACATTGATGGTCTACCCCGACGAGCCGTGATGAGGCCACTCTCCCGCAAGAAGCTACATGCTTCAGACACGGCGATGACTCTGCTCCCCAAGTCGGATGGTACATACGTGATCACCGGTGGTCTTGGGTCTCTCGGACTCGATACGGCGGACTTCTTGGTGAAGAAGGGCGCTCGTCGAATCCTGCTTGTTTCACGCCGTCCGTTCCCCGTACGTTCGAGCTGGGCCAAGCTCGTTGCCGACAATGACGAGTTCGCTAGCGCCATCCGTCGCATCCAGTCCATGGAGAGAGCTGGTGCCGCTGTGTGCACAGCCGCCATTGACATGTCCCTCCCCGATGCGTCCAAGGACCTGCTGCGTGCGCTGGACAATATGCAACTGCCTCGTGTCCTTGGCGTGGTGCACTGCGCTGGCGTCCTGGAAGACAGTCTCGTGCTCGAGACAAGTCGGGACTCATTCCGCCGTGTGATGGCACCCAAGGTGAACGGTGCCCTGGCTCTTCACGAGGCCTTCCCACCTGGCTCCGTCGACTTTTTCGTCTTGTACTCGAGCATTGGCCAACTTGTTGGTACGGTTGGCCAGGCTTCCTATGGTGCAAGCAATGCTTTCCTGGATGCCATGGCATACCACAGGCGAGCGCAGGGTGACAATGCAGTGGCCATGCAGTTCACAGCCTGGCGTGGCAGTGGCATGGGGGCTTCTACTGAGTTTTTGACGGTGGAGCTTGAAAGCAAGGGGATCACGGACATTTCCAGTGAAGAGGCGTTTCGAGCTTGGGAGCATCTGGGCAAGTTTGACATTGGCTCGGCCGTCGTCACGCGTTGTTTGGCGATTGATGAGGGCAGCCCTGTTGCGGTGCCTATTTTGGAGGACATTGTCGTGCGACGCCCCAGGGCGCAAGTCAATGGGCAAGGCCAAGAGGACAAGGATGGCCTTGGTGTGAGCGCGAGCATCAACGCACGACCGACTGATGCAGAGGGCCTGAGGCAGTGGCTCGAGGTCAGCATCCGGCAGTGTATTGCCGCGGTGCTGATGATGCCTGATATTACGGAGATTGACGGTGGGACGATGGTTAACGACTTGGGCATTGACAGTGTCATGACTGTTGCGCTGCGAAGGCAGTTTCAGGACTTTTTCCAGATCAAGGTGCCGCCCACGTTGACGTGGAAGCATCCGACGGTGGACAGCATGGTGCCGTGGTTTGCCGCCAAGTTGCAGGAGGAATAGGGGGGGTATAGAGAGTTTCATAAGTCTTGGAGTGTTAGGTTTAGCTGAGATTTTAACATTCCGTATTAATAGCACTATAACAGTATAGTTAACTGGTGCAAATCCTGGCTCTTCTCCAAAAGGAGGCCAAGTTTCTTCGTGTCGTGAAAAGCCCTAAATGGCTGATCCGCATTGTTCTCTTTGCTTCTATCTTTGACACCCCTAGTCAATTCTGATGAGTTCAATAACAAGTGACTAAAGCTTTCTTCTATCCGACATTGCATAGTCTGTGTATCAAAGGCGCAATACAATCCTCTTAGCCCATAAAGAAGAAACGAAGACGAAGACAGAGCTGTTCGCAGGATAGGCCTCGCTCAAGACATAAGCCTCGGAACTCAAGAACTCCGGCTTTGAATAGTTACTCCATGCTCGCGCTGACCTGGCGCCCCTTTCTCGCGTGAGGTTTCGATGTCTTCTGAGACACTTGTAGCCCCCGGCGTAGAGGTTGCACTCCTGGCACCGTTGAAAATGAATCCCGGGTGGCCAATGCACAGACAGAACACGGAGATCAATATCAACCTAGAAGTCCATTAGCAATCACATTGGTTTCCGACCGTACAGCAACTCACACTCCCTCGAGACCAATGAAGAGCGCTTCGTTGGTAATCAAGTCCGAGTCCGTATATCCCTGGCTCAACTCGTAGCAACGGAAGATACATCGACCCTCGATGAGAACAATGGCCGCGCCCAGAAATACAAAGAACAGCTTCTCTTTTCTTTCGAGAGCACGTGAGTGCTTGGAGCGGAAGAAGCGGATCATGTAATCGGCAAAGAGCGCGCAGAAGCAGAAAATCACCACAACCTGGAGGATTAGGCCAGCCATGGCAATGTCGATTCCCGTCTGGCTGGACCCTGAGCTGATTGTCGAAAGGGCGCCACCGGCCGCTTGGAGAACGAGACAGAGTATATCGGCGGGGATGAAGATCCAGTAGACCAACTTAGGTTGAAGGCGTGAGAATTCGCGGCCGAAATAATTAATCCTGCCAGTGTCAGTATGGGACGCTTTTGATGGTAGGACCTCACATACACCTGTGACAATGTGACATAGATGGCCGCTGTGTAGAACACGGGGGCGCCCGTCACGCAAACGACCTGCATCAAGAATGCGTCGAACCGGAAAGGATTGGCGTGCATCGTGATTCTACCCACGTAGCCGACCATACCGTACACCGAGCCGAGGACCATGCACACAGCGAACCATATGCATTTCCACCGGAAGCCAAGGTAGATGTGAGTGAGCGCTGCGATTCCTAGCAATACGAGGATCGAGATGTTGGCTGGCAGCGAGGGCCTGTACTTGTATACACTCCATTCGAGGGGACACAATTCGAGCGTGCGGTTCGAATCGGGTCCAAAGACGACGATGTACTGAAGCTCGGGGGGGTATTGACCCTCGCCATCTGCCATATTGTCGACTGGTATGCGCCTCAATTGGGGGGCAGGTCGATCTAAGTGATGAGTCCTTCTCTGGCAGAGTTGAGGCGCTGGCTGGATGAAGGGTGCGATATGGAGGATTCAAGATTTGAGATTGATGTTTAAATCCCTTATTTATCAACTATGATATACCGGATGATAAAATCTAAGCGTCATGTAGTCAGCAGATGAACAACCGACAGCGAAAGCGAACAAAGTCCTCTTGGGTAAAGGTGCTGGAAGAACCGGAGCTCGCATTCGCCTGCGCGACTCAGAGCGGACGGCTCGCTCTAGAAGGTGAGCGCTAGCAGGCCGCTCGCCCAATGACAGACGTCTATTTCTGAGTGTTTGAGCTTTTAGGGACTAGCGCCTCTTTTCCGCCCATGACTCCACTTATCGATACAATGCAGTTGGTTGGACTTTTCAGCCCTGCATATCCATCCAAGAAAAGCTCGCATATCGGCGAGCGATGTCCGGTCTTCTGCTGCGCCGCATATAATTGTTTTGCCAGCCAGCGAGAGACTGGACTTCTGCGATTTGCTATGGCAAGAAGCGTGAGGCTATTCATACTCATTATGACCCCTAATAATTGCGGGTGGACGCCTTGGTAAATGTTCGCGGCTGAGAAGTAATTGGGCTACACTATGTTTGATTGTCGTCCTGGGTTGTGTTGCGTTGAATATTTTTGCCCGACGAAAACAAATACGTCCTCCTTCTGGCTACTTTAAAACAAACGACCTGTCGAGCAATTAGAGCTACGTATGCTGATAGCTTGGACCTATGACAAACAAGGACAGTATCTCTCTGTTCTTGTGCTACTAGCTGTGGCTATAGGGTAGTCTCAACGGCATTGCACCAAGCTGACGACGTTAATGACATAAAAGCTATTGTCCACACGCGATTGAAATGCGTTAGTGGGATTTGTAGACTTGAAGGTATAATATAAAGCATGGCGGATTATCTGCTACACGAGCCGATCGAAGACTTTGCGCGTGGCTGCTACACGAGCCGATCGAAGACTTTGCGCGTGGCTGCCCACATATGTGTATACTGCTCGGGGTGTTGGGAACAGTCGAGCCAATGCGATGCACTTCACGTAAAACAATCAATGCCGGTGAAACGTTCTTACGGCAACGGAGCCGACATCTAAGTACACCACGCAGGTGAAGCGCAGCAGAGATTAAATGACGCAGATGCCTTCCGTGAGTATTGTGTGCGCCATTGGTAGCTCTAGCTCTGTCCGCATGTATGAGTCGCAGATTCGTCCTGGCCACAGAGACCTTTGGTCACGGGATGGAAAGTATACGTCGGTGCTCCCAACGCAAAAGATCTTGCGAAAGAATTGACACTGTGATCCGCTGGCAGGTAAAAGACAGCTTGTCCTTGTAATCAGGTCTTATTTTTGCCCGCGGTCGCAGGCACCCTTTCCACCTAGCGACAAGCCTGAGATCGTGCAAGCAACAGCGTGCCTGTGGAATCGTCCATGTTTTTCAAGGAAGCCTATATGTTACTAAATGAAGAGCGTGGGAGTTACTCGCTACTATTCCGCCACAACATTCATGCGCACGTGAAACCAACAGTATGGGGTCGGTCCCGCATGGTGCTGCTTCGAGTCCGAACGCAGCCTAAATACCGAGCTTGATAAGTGAAGACATTATTGGACCACGGACTCGTTGAATTCCAGATCGACCGGACCTGCAGTTTTTATTCTTATAGGGTCGTAGGATTCAGAATCGTCAAATGATCCGCTATGTCAGAGCACTCATACTCATGTCGTCTGTCCCGTAAATATCTCCAAAGGACAGCGCTATCATGTTAGAATTTCCTGGTCCTTGGGTTAGTGCCTGCCATGATTGTAGGTTAGGGCCGCGGTCCTGGCTACTATAGATGGCTGTCGTCACAGTACTGTCTAAGCTCTGATTGAAGACGCACACGCATCGATCAGCATGGAGGGGACGACAGTCCCATCTCAAGAAGTGATCCAACACTCCACCCGCTCTCACAAGATCTGCCCCTTCGTTGACGACAAAAAGGTGTTTCTTTGTCTGTTTTTTTTTCTGCGCTTCATATGACTTTGCTGGGCGAACTTTATCATCCTACACCCCCTAAACAATATCCGATCCAGCGGCCTACGACATCATGTTCATCAATCTGTCCAGCGCCATCGCTTTAATGGGCATGACTCCAAAGTACCTCGGTGCCTCTGCCGCCTTCGAAACTGTGGTGGTGACGGTTGAAGCTAAATCCCCTAATGAAGATGGGACATGAAACGATTTTGTCCTCGTGCAGCTATCCAAGCGACAGCTACGCGGTATCTTTCCTGTTAGGGTCGACGTTGTTGAGGCCCTGAATGAGACGTGCGGACCAACAAAGATAGAGTGACGCCAGACTACAGCCTTGAGCCCCGAGGAGACTGAGCGTCTCATGCAGCACGTCAAGGCGGCCGCGAAGAGTCAATTGCCTGGCGGCGTGCCTATCACGGAGGAAGTTATTGACGCACTGAAATGGGCATATGGACCAGGAGTAAAAAAGGGACAAAACGGAGATTCCTCTGGATAAATTCGAAGGGCATGGAGGGTATCGAGGGACGCGCTGACGCCCGCAAACCGGGCGCGCCCTATTCGAATAAGACGTGTGGGCGCCAGCGGGTTCAAAATGTTGACCGGTTAAAAGGAGTTCCCTTAAAGTGACGACTGCACCATTGCATGTTAAATGTCTTCTTGTCGTTAGGAGTTGCTGGTTCTCTGCTCCAGTCGTGAGCCAGCTATTGTGCCACGAAATATTGCTGTCTCTAATTGTGCCTCCGGTTCCGCACATAGAGTTGTGGTGTCTTACGGAAAATGATCAGATAACAGGATCCTGTATTCGAATTCAAGGCCAGTTGTCATACCACTAGATTTCTAACCCATGGTGGCAAGGTCCATGTCTGTGAGCAACCTCCGCAAGGCCACATGCGCATTTGTTGAATGACGGCCAGCGCACGTGCATCGAAGGATGCAATGGCCGTAAACATGAATCAAATCGACATGTCGCCACTTGTTCGCCACTCCAGCCTCTTTTTATCAAAAGCAATGCCATGGAGACCGACACATTCAAGGCGCGCTGAAAGCACGGTGGAATTCAGAGTCAGTCACGACAGAGAGAAGCCATGCCTCGCAAGTAGACTGCAACTTCACGTTCCGTACATAGAGTCGCGTTTGGCCAGGAACCGCACAATATCGTCCTCAGCCTGTTCCGAGTCTTCATCATGGCGGCCGACAGCATCCACGAGGCGTGGCCGGACTATAAAGATCCCTTGGTACATGTAGACTTGATCACCCTCGGAGGCACTGAGGATCGTCCCGTTTTGGGTATCAGCTTCAAGTCAAGCAGAGGCACAGCAGTGCAATGCTACCATGTCATAAGCACGGCTTGCAGGACCGATCATGCAGTCCTGGTGTTTTCGCTAGCTTGCCCAATCCGTACATCAACCAAGGGCTGGCTGGGGCTGTTGCGACCTTGTGATCGGAAGAAACCATCAGCCTGTTCATGAGAGACGGATATTTAAACGGGAAGTGCTTGCGATTCGTGAAGATTCATGCATTCGATACTACATAGGGATTTCATGTGGCCATATGTTGTTGTACATGTATACGATGCGTGGTGCAGAATCAACATGTAGCTTCGCGCCAATTGATATTCACATGCAGCTATGAAGTAAGTATTTGATGTGGGGTAATTTTGCCTAATTACACTTTGCCGTATTCAGCTTTCGCTTCGCTAGAAACGGAGTCCTGCGCGTTTCAGCCTCATCATGCTGTGGATGTTTCATAGACAGGCGGGTCGGACCCTCATCTCAATCGAGGGTGAGTTGTTTTGCGCACAATTTCATATCGGCGGTCCCTTGAATCTCCCAAGGTTTCACTAGGTCGTTAGAGGGCTTCAAAATCAAAGCTTATTAGATAGAGAAGGGCCCGTTAAATATGTCTCATAAGCTCAACTCTCCTCGTATAAGCAAGCGGGCCGTGAGATTGCGGATTGCGCCCACAGCGATTCAAATGAGGGAGCCAACAGGACAACTGCCGACAACACTCTCCCACGCATGACTGACGGCAAGATCTTGAATTTCTTTTGCATTCATGGTCCACCAGTGGCCGACCAGCCAACATGATAAGCCTTGACGATGCCTAGCTACCGGATCCGTACCGCAAAATCTCCGATGGACGCTCCCATCCGTGCTGGCGGATACCTTCGGAAGCGACAGTATTGCAGGAAACACTTTAATCAACTGCGGGGTCGACATGGCCATTTGAATCCTAGTTGGACTCGATGGGTGAGCGTCGGTACCACCCGGCGTCTGGTGATGTGGCCCAAAGGGGCAATCCACGTTTCAACCTCCGACGATTTCTTCTTTCGACCAGGAACTCACGGCTGCCAAGCCCGCCCAACCAGGGACCCTGCCAATTACCCCAGATGAATGTCCCAATGGCGAACATTCTCGACTCGCGAGGCCGGCTAAGATGGCACTTGCCGGGCCCTACGTAGTAGAGCCCCCCTTTCTAGCTGTCGGATATGCTGCGCCGGCACTCCAGTCCCAAGCTTGGCCCAGGGGCATCAACGTCCATTCTCAGGTTGCCAACGGCCCAAGACCCATTCTGGTTCGTGCGGTTGTTCTTATGCACTGGCAAAATTGGGTAAATTCAGATGCCATGTGCGCATTCATCCGTCCTTGACCTCAGTCAGAACTCCATTCTGCCTTGTGGCCAGCTCCACGACAAGCGTATATATTGTGCAGGATCTTCGTCGAGGACCGTCGATCTTCCCTACTCCCTTGTCTCTCTACCCACATCCCGATCGCTCATCTTCGCTTCACTCGGACTCTGCAATCATGCACTTTTCTACTTTGGTGCTGGCCTTTGCGCCGGCTGTCGCGCTCGCCCAGGGCAACCTCTGGGACCAGTGTACGTGACGCCCCAGTGCTCCAAAAGGATAGCTCGCTGATGAACATTGCTACACAGGCGGCGGAATCGGCTGGAGTGGCTCCAAGACTTGTGTCTCGGGCGCCACCTGTCAGTATGTCAAGTAAGCACTCCCCCTCCTCACCGCAGAAGATCGAGCATCGTACTCACATGGCCTCAGCGACTGGTACTCGCAGTGTGTCCCCGGATCTGGTGACGGCGGTGGCAGCGACCCCCCTGATCCCGAGCCAACGAATGGCGGCGGTGGCGGTGGTAGTGGTGGTTCCGGCCTGGACGCCAAGTTCAAGGCCAAGGGCAAGCAATACTTTGGCACCGAGATCGACCACTACCACCTCAACAACAATCCGTTGATGACGATTGTCAAGGAAGATTTTGGCCAGGTGACCAACGAGAACAGCATGAAGTGGGATGCCACTGAGCGTAAGATTCCCGGTCCTTGGTTGCCATCTAGCAGACGAAGCTGACACGCCCCCCCAGCCAACCGCAACCAGTTCACCTTCTCCAACGCGGACGCCGTCGTCAACTTTGCCCAGGCCAACGGCAAGCTCATCCGCGGCCACACCCTGCTCTGGCACTCGCAGCTGCCGCAGTGGGTGAAGAACATTGGCGACCGCACGACCCTGACGCAGGTCATCCAGAACCACGTCACGACCATGGTCACCCGCTACAAGGGCAAGGTCCTGCAGTGGGACGTGGTCAACGAGATCTTCGCCGAGGACGGCAGCCTCCGTGACAGCGTCTTCAGCCGCGTCCTCGGCGAGGACTTTGTCGGCATCGCCTTCCGCGCCGCCCGCGCCGCCGACCCCAACGCCAAGCTCTACATCAACGACTACAACCTCGACATTGCCAACTACGCCAAGGTCACCAACGGCATGGTCGCCCACGTCAACAAGTGGCTGTCCCAGGGCATCCCCATCGACGGCATCGGCACCCAGTCCCATCTGGCCGCCCCCGGTGGCTGGAACCCAGCCTCGGGCGTGCCCGCCGCCCTCAAGGCCCTGGCCGCCTCCAACGTCAAGGAGATTGCCATCACCGAGCTCGACATCTCCGGCGCCTCCGCCAACGACTACCTCACCGTCATGAACGGCTGCCTCCAGGTCTCCAAGTGTGTCGGCATCACTGTCTGGGGTGTTTCGGACAAGGACAGCTGGAGGTCGGGTGACAACCCCCTCCTCTTCGACGGCAACTACCAGCCCAAGGCGGCGTACAACGCCCTGGTCAACGCTTTGTAAGGGGTCGAAGTGCAGATCATAGCTATATAGGCATTCAATCTCGCAGTGGTACGCGGTACTGCTTCTTGCCACCAGTCTGTGCACCCGTGAAGTTGTCCCAGATACGTGATTAAGGAAGAGAAAATGTACGCTGTTCAGTACTAGTATGTATACTAAATTTCGTGCCCCTGAACCTATGGCTTGTACTGCGCCCTCAGGAAATCCAGAATCACCGGCGTAATGTAGATCTGATCATTCCCAGCCCCAGGGTAGCTGTGATCATGGCCCTCAATCTTGATGTGTCGAAGCAGACCTGGGATTCCAGCACACGTCCAGCTCTGATCCGTCACACCATTGCCAAGATCCTTCGTCGTGGACGTGGTACATTGATCCCTCTGAGCCCAGCGACCAAGCCACTCGGGAATGGCAGGGAGAGGGCCTCCTCTCCCGTTCCCACCGTTATATGGAATCGTCGGATCACTCGTACCATGGGTCTCGAGGACGGGCAAGGGTGAGCGGGCTGGTGTGCACCTCTCGTCCCCGTTGACGTCCGTGTACAGTGCCGCGGCCACAGGTGCGAAAGCAGCAAACTGGCCGCCGTGGCCAGGCGAGCAGGCCAAGGTGCCGACAAACCCGCCACCGTTGGAGTTGCCGGCGGCGTACACGCGGCTCTCGTCTACGCAGTAGTTGGCCTTGATCCGGTTGACGAGATCCGTCGTGAAGACCTTGTCACTCACGCCAGGCGTGGCATACGTCGGTCCCTGCCAGTTGCCCTGTCGGAGAGTTAGTATAGACCGTATTTGCTACGTGTAGCGTGAGAACTTACGTTGATGCCGGCGGGAAACACGGTGATCATGTCCGGGTTGATGCTTTCGTCGGCAAAGTTGGTCTCCGCCTCGAAGCTGGCTGGGTTGCCGCCCGAGCCATGGTACGCGATCAGCAAGGGACGCGGTGCGTTGATGTCGTAGTTGGACGGTAGGTGAATCCGGTACGTGCGCGTGCCGCCGCTGCTCTCGAAGCTGAACTCGCGCGACTGGCCGATGAAGCTATGAGACGTGCCGCAGCCGGGCGAGGCCTGGACTGCCTGCCTGCTCACGGGCGCTGCTACGGCGCCTTGCCAGCAGAGGGCAAGGGAGCAGGCCAGGACATAGGCTCGGGCAAGCATGGCTGTTATATGGTCGTATGGTTGGGATGTTGGGGTCGCAGTGCGAGGCTGTCGAGAAGAAGAGACTCGCGTCAGAGTATGGGCCCTGGGCTACTCTTCACTTCCACGATGAGCTGCGGCACGACGCCTGTATAAATATTAGCGCATTGATGCATGGCGCGACGGAGCGCACTTGGTGATCACAATTGAAACGAAATGGACCGTCACGGCGGAGCGAAGGATCGCCCAGCGCTACAAACGGCCTGGTCGACCATTCGCCTTCCAGATCTGGCAATCCGAGCCCTGGGCGGAGGGAGCAAAGAACAGCATCATGGCCTCGGCATCCAGGACCTGGCCCCTGGAGTGCATAATCGGTGCCGCAAAGGGCCGATCCCCCCATGGCCAGATGCGAATGCCGTGAGCAGCATCACTCTTATGATGTTGGACAGGAGGCAACGTAGCAATGCCATGACTCGCCCCATCAGAGCAGCCAAAGTCTCCGTGGCTCGTGGTGAGGTCGGTTTTCTTCGTTCAAGGCTCGTGATATTGATAAGGCAAGCTTAGGCAGAATTTGACTCTATAAGAAGGGTCGGGGACTCAGGGTCCTCGCGACTGAGACAAGCCAGGATGCTGGCTCGCCCCTAGATGACGACAGGATCGCGGGGACAAGACGCGATGCACCTCCACATGAGCCCGGCTGCCCGATGCCCATGCACGAATAGTAATACCCCGAGACCGAATCTCGATACCCCACACAAGCGCTGCAGAGAAAGGCGATCTTGACTTTATCTCGTTGTCATGACCCCCAAGGGACAGGACAGCCCCTCGGGATGCCCCGTGCGGATGGTAAGGCTGACGGGCTATATGTAATTTCTATGGTACTGCGCACATCTGTTGGCTGACCACACAATCAGCAGTGACGCACGAGATCGGCCCGTTTCTAGTGTGGTCGTGAACAATGATCTCGGCAATCCTCTTCCATGGTTTTGGGAGTGTGGGGGACCGCCTTGGCGTGACTCATCAGCCTTTGGTCCCACCAGAAGGCATTTCTAACTTCTTGACAGCTGGACGTTCTCGGGATAAAAAGCGGCTTGGATTCTTCGATCTGGAGATTGGCAATTGCAAAAAGCATGTATAGAGGGCTCGTGTGCTCATGTGTGAACACGACAAGTATCGTCCAGGGTAAGCTAGTGCCCTCATCTCTTTGTTGCATGCACGAATTGTACAAACACGTGCAAGCGTCCATTGCAGAGAGTCAGAGAGTCAGAAAGTCGTATATTGTTCGATAACTATGCAGGATGCCCTTGGCGAGATGATTGCCACGAGCGATACTATCACAAGAACTAGTCGTCCATGGTAGATTGCACATCTGCTGCCCATGAACATGAACCCAGCCCCATCTCATCTCCAGTGCTTCTTCAACTAACCATCTTCTACGTCTGCAAAAACTCGAGCAGATCCCTATTCACCTCGTCCACGTTGATGTTGTGAATAGCATGCGAACCACCTTTATACACCTTGAGCGTCGCATTGGGCAGCAGCTGAGCCGTTTTCTTTCCCGAATTCTCAAACGGAACGATCTGGTCGTCGTCCCCATGCAAGACAAGCACAGGCAGACGCATCTTGCGCAGGTCAACCGTGAAATCCGTCTCCGAGAAATCCTTGATGCTGTCGTACGTGGATTTGTAGCTCGACATCATCCCCTGCCTCCACCAATTCTGGACGTGGCCCTCGCTCTTGGTGGCGCTGGCGCGGTTGAAGCCGAAGAATGGTCCCGTGGGCACATCAAGAAAGAACTGAGAGCGGTCTTTGCGCATTGATTCGCGGAAGCCGTCGAACACGGAGAGTGGGATGCCATCCGGGTTGTCCGCCGTCTTCAGCATGAGGGGAGGGACAGCCCCGACGAGCACGGCCTTGGTCACTCGGCTCGTGCCGTGTCTACCAATGAACCTGGTGACCTCGCCACCTCCATGGGAGTGGCCCACCATGGTCACGTTCTTGAGGTCGAGGTGCTCGAACAGCTGGAGGAGATCATCGGTGAAGGTGTCCATGTTGTTGCCCGCCCAGGGCTGACTGGAGCGACCATGGCCACGACGGTCATGCGCAATGACACGGTAGCCACGCTCCGCGAGGAATGCCATCTGGCTCTCCCAGCTGTCGCTGCTGAGTGGCCAGCCGTGCGAAAACGTGACTACTTCACCTTTGGGGTTGCCCCAGTCCTTGTAATAGAGAGCTGTTCCATCCTTGAGCGTGAGAAATGGCATCGTTGAGAAGGAAGAGGATGGAATTGGTGTTTTGAAGGGTTTTGATATGGTGACAATTCAAACGGACTTGAGGCTTCTTTATACTTTTTTCAAATAAGCGGCTGGAGAGTATTCTGCGTTCCGTCACTTGCATGCAACATACCAGGCAGTAGCTCTCGTGAGAGCTTGCAGGCTTATCCTGTACAGAATTGCGGAAAACGCCCGGACAGTGATTGCCTTTGCGTTACTCGTATGGAACGACCGGAAGAATGGAAATAAGCTTATCAACAAGACAACATTGGCCGGCTGCTTACTGAGAAGCGGGGTGAGCTCGATAACGAAGGCAAGATGTCCCGAAATATCCGGGTCTAGTGTTGTCTATTTTAAGTCAGCCAGACAGATAACATGCAGTGAATATAGGCGCCCTGGATGATAAATCAAGGCCAGGGTCGAAGGGGTTGGCAATGTTGCGATTTTGGCTTTGCTGCTAAGATTGCTGCCTTTGGCTGGTCACGAATGAAATAGTCTCTCTTGATATAGCCTGCGCAGGGAGTAGCTTAGTTGTATATTCCGTTGAGTACATCTCTTGCCACACAAGTCGCTTCCTCGCTTCATACCGCCTCACTCTGTGTCGCAACAGCCTGCTCGCGTCAGCTCGTTCCCTCAATGTTCCTCTCACTTAGGAAAAGGACTCACCTTCTCCTCCGCATTCGCCCGCTCAACAGCACCACGATCTCCGTTTTGAATCGCCGTGAGCGTCGCGGCCGTTCCGTACGTCGTGTGGTCTTTGAACTGCCACGCTTTCAAGTTGGCCCGGAAGAGCTCGTCCACCTCCTCTAGTGACCGGTTCTGGAAGCAAAGGTTAGCCCAGGACTCTCTTGTCCCCTCGCCGTTGAGCGAGCACCTATAACGCACCTTGAGTTCAGGGAAGAAGAACCAGCCCCACACCACAGTGAAGGCGCACACCGAGCCGAAGATCCAGCCAATGTTGACGCCCAGAATCGGCAGCACGTAGGGCGTGACAAACGTGACGAGGAACGCCGCGGCGACATCAACGGAGAGACCAAATGCCTGCGAGATGTGAGTGACACGATCAAAATAGGGCCTGTGATGACCAAAAGGCGGGTCAGATTGCTTACCATAATCTTCTTTCGCATTCGCACACCACCAATCTCCGCTCCCGTCAGGAAAGCCGTGTTCGTGGCCGCGATCCGAGTAAAAGCGGGAAAGATCATAAAGCAGGATATCATCGTGTGCGTGATCTGCTGGCTGGGGTTGGACGTGGAGCCGCCAATGCCCGAGGCGAGGAATAGGAGGAACGTGCAGACGACGCTCCCGTAGATGAGGAGAGGTCGACGGCCTGTGATATCGAAGAGGATGACGCCGACCAAGCAGCCCAAGATGCCCATGGACTGCCCAATCATGTTGTACGTGAAGGACATGGCGCCGAGTCCCTGCTGGACGTAAAAGGTCGCTGCGTACGACTGCACGAACTGGTTGCCATTGCTCTGCTGGATGGCGAAAAGCGTGCCGGCTATCCACGTGCGGCGCAGGTAGTTGCCTCGGAAGAGATCGAGCCAGCCCCCCTCTTCGGTGGCCAGGGATTCTTGGACCAGCTCATTCATCGCGTTCAGCTCCGCGGCCGTGGACCCGTCCTCTACCTCGTATTTGTGGCGGATCTTGTCGAGAGATCGTTTCGCATCGTCGAACCTACCCTTGGCCAACAACCAACGTGGCGACTCTGGCGTGAAGGGGATGAAGACGAGAAGGAGGATGGCGGGGATAAACTGCATGCCCGTCGGGATCATCCAGCCCTTACTGCTGGGCTCAGTCGCAAAGGCGCGGGACATGCCGGCACCCCAGAGGTTGCCCAGCGCTGTGACGAACATGATCGATCCGGAGAGCAGACCGCGCGTCGCGGCCGGCGATGTCTCTGCATTGTACGAGGGGACTGCGTTCTCCACGAGGCCGACTGCAAAGTACGCCACGTCTCGTCCGATGGTGAACTGCATCCAGTGATGGGCAGTTATTTCCACTGCGATGTCCAAGTCAGCTCTCCGGAAACGAAAGCAAGAAAAAAGTAGCAGGCTACCTACAGATTACACCCACGATCTGGACACCGGCCGCGACGAGCATTGTGTTCTTGAAGCCCAGGCGCTCAATGAGGATGTCGGAGGAAAAGCAGCCGAGGATTTTGCCGATCCAGGGCAGCGAGTTCATCAGGGAGCGTCGCAGCTGCGGCATTGCATACACCCCATCTTGACCTGGCACTCCAAAGTCGTTGAGGAAAGAAGGGAGCGCTTGCAATCCGCCAAAGGAGCCAGTGTCGCTTGAGGGAAGTGTCAGCAAGCCATGGCCCGCATCAGTCGAGGAGGCATATACTCACATGCCGAAAATGATGGCTCCGAGGAGGAAGACGCAGCAGTTGAATGCCAGGTATGGCGTGATCTGGGACCAGGCCTTGGGCAGCATCTTGGACAGCGGCGACATTATGGCCCACTCGCGTCTCGAACTGAGGTAGGATGGATGGAACAATCCTCGGGGAAGGGGGGAACCTTGTGCATGATATATAGTCTGGGATTGCTCAGAGGCTCATGGCCATGCCTGAGTGCACCACGTGGAAGTATTCGAGATAGACCACCGAGGGCATCTGTGAGGACAAGATTCTGTCTGACCATCGCCTCGTGGGGAATGATTATGGGGTATGGGGAGCATGGCGGGGCCGACCCGGAGGTGGACGCCAGCGACCCGATTCTTTGTTCGCCGAGCCGAGACGACCGAACCGAAATTTTGGAGGGCGTCGTCGGTCGGGCCAAACCTGAATCAGCCCATGGGTTCCCGCCCCCAGCTATTGTACGAATGGTGTAGACCCTCGCCCGACGGCAAGATGTCCAATAGGGCAGGCCCATCTGCGGTCAGATCCAAGCCATTGAATCCACCCTGGAACAGAGACATCTGGTCCCAAATATCGGAGACAGACCCAGCCCATGGGGAGTTGCCCTGGGCATCGGTTGCGTATGGGCCGTGGGTCATGGACTCATTGAACCCAGCTGTCTGGGTTGCCATGTGGCTGGCAGGCGCTTGACCCTCGGGGCCCGAGCCGGACGAGCACTGGGCGTTGTCGAGGTGGTTTCGGTCTGCGGTCTGCCCATCTGCTTCGCTCGGGGGGTCGGCCATCTCGATATTGTAACTGTCATCCTGGAAGCTGGTTCGGTAGAGTGCGCTGTGCTTGGTGGCGTATGGCCGCAGGGCTGTGCAGCTCGTAGACGCAAGCCCAGGCGATGTACTTTGACCTAAAGAAAAGGCCTCGACAGCTGAGGTTAACTCAGCAACCTGACAGAACAGTCAGTACGATTTTTCCTCCAGCGCCAAAGGGAGCACATACCATCTCAGTGATCGCTGGGCACATTGGGGACAGGCCTTTGGCGAGTCGAAGGCACGTTGACACTTTTTGCAATGTCTTTTCCCTCGAAATGGTCACTTGCGAGATGGTGTTGCTGGCGCTCTGCATCAGAATCTCCGCGCTGCTCAAGGCGCAATGTGCCATCTCCATGTCCAGGATACATGTGTCGCCACCCAGATCAAATAGTGATGAGAATATGTCGGCTATGCTCTGGGCATGAGCCAGGCACTTGGTTCGGCAGGCTTCAATGCCCATTTCACCAATGAGCTCTCGAATCCTGGTGGTACCGTGATCTCGTGGGTTGAGCGCCAGTTCTTGGAAGAGGATGCTGTAGCAATGGTGCCACCAGACATGTGTCATGACGTATCGCGAAAGCCGAGGCGAGTAGGCGCGTAGCTCGAGATTCTTCTGCGAGTAGCGTTCGTTTGAAGGGAGGTGTGCCATGAAAGCATTGAGTTCTTTCTCTAGCCTCTGCAACTCAGACCACTGCGCGTCTGTGGCCATCTTTGGACTTGATGCTTTTTTGAGATATCTGCTATAGTCAGCTTAAAAAGTCAAAGACTAGAAAGTCAACAATTCCTCCGTAGCCTGGGACGTCTGCTTACCGGATGATTCCATCATACAGATGCATGACACGAAGATAGTAGGCAATGATGCCGAGGCTGGTTGGAGATCGATCCTGGGTCTCGATTCGCTCAGAAGCATTTTCGACATCGAGCTCAAAGTTGTCTTCCATGCTCGGCAGTCGGAGATGTATCGTGGTGATTGGGCATGTGGTAAACTCTTCCTGTCCATCGGCAAGAATCACATCGAGCATGTATATGCCCCACATGAGCCTTCGTCGGGATTCCTGGACGAAGAAGGATAGATTTGACTTTTCATAATTGAGTCGCAGGGCAAATGCAATCCTCGTCAGCTGCGCCATGCTCAGGAAGACCATGTTGGAGGCACCCGTCCAGTGCCTGAACTTGAGAAGAAGCAGCAACGCCTGTGTGTCGACAAATGTTGGCTGGCCGAGGCTGCGAAGCACGAGACCTTCAGCCATGTCGGCGCACTGGAAGCCGACTTCTTTCTCCTCACTCGACGCGCCAGGAAGTCTGGAGCTCAGCGCGACAATGGCCGCCAGCAAGGGTGGTTCCAGCTTCCGTTTGGAAAAACGCCGCATCAGCGAGGGTTTGTGGAGGAATGCGAGACCCGGGAGGCAATGGAGGGATTCAAAGAATCGGCGCAACGCCACGGCGGCCTTCTCATGAGGAATGAAATTCTGTCTTCAAGGGTGAATCAGCTTTATGCTCAGTGGTGTGAGGATCGGGGAACCCGTGAAAACAAGACGTACTGAGATCCTGGTGAAACTAGCAATGAAGCTGGGTGCACGCGGTCCATGTTGGCAGCAGTTGTTCGAGGGGACTCGGTCTGATGCAGTCCGGGGGAACCATTGTCAGATTGTGACGTTTGGTTGTGCCCGCCACTATCTCCTTGGCCGCTCAGTGAGACGCGCCTCATGCCATGCTCTGGAAAGACACACGAGATCTCCCTGAGTCTGCATCGCCTGCAACCACTTACCTCTCCCGAGCAACGCACCTTGGCACGACTACAGCTTTCGCAGGCATGGGAGACGCGTGGTCGCTTGTTTTGAAGAAGGGGTGCAGGTGTCTGCGCGGGATTCGTGGGTGCTCGAAAGGAGCAGTCGTACCCCAGTCTCGTGCAGTGGGCACAGCCATCGAGGCAGCCGTCGCAGCGGACCTATCGCTTAGCATCTCTGCTGACGGCGCGAAAATGATCAGACTCACCTTGCGTGTCCTGCATTGTGCGCATGTTTGTCTGCGGCTGGCAGCTGAGGGCGAGGGTTCCATGTGGCATGGGGATGTTGTTGCGGCCAAATTGGGTGGCTCTGGCTGCTGTGGGGATGGGAAACGCGCTGGATAGGTAATTGCCACAGGTGATTGCGTGTGGAGGATCGCAGCTGCCGTCGGTGGTTTTGGGGGTTGGCTTTCTGTCTACCCTGCGGCAGAGCGAGCTAGTAGGCTGGCCGCTGTACTCCGTACCCACCTGTAGTCTACCGTGACATGCGAAACACTGCTGCATTCACGGAACAAGTAGCTTGATGATGAATTATCTATGCGAAAAAAATGAAAAGTGTTCTCTATTTGATATAGGCATCGTGCAGAAATTGTAACCTTGCCATCAAATACCGTTGCATTCTTCAGGTAGCACTGGATGCACATGACTCCACCAGCCGGAGATCAGAGTCCAGACCTTGGTTACAAGCACGACCATTTGCTCACCCTGCACTCAACTAGCATTCATCGACAATGACATATACCTGTTCGTGCGAGGTATCAGCAAGCGAGCGGAATCACACGCGGTCTCTATGTAATTCGGTACGCCAATGAATCTCTTGTTCTGGGAGCAGATGGATACATAACAGTTAAGTCTGATGCATCCGCCTACCGCGGTCCAGCATCTTTCTGCAATGGATTGTCCACCCGCCTCATTTGCATCTGACTATACGCTGCTCCGTCCACAACAAAATCCCAAGTCCCCGGGACCCTCAGATCCTCCTGCGCGTACCTCTGCAACGCCTGCACACTCTGTCCATCCCTCATCAACCACGGATCCCCAGTCTGGAACTGCCACGCCTCGACGCGGGCCCTCATCCGCTCCAGAACACCCCTGAACTCTTCCTTGTCCGCGAGATTCTGCACCTCGAGAGGATCAGCCTCCATGTCGTACAGCTCCTCGACGGGACGCTTGATGTACTGCCTGAGAGATCGGGCGCCCACCATCACGTCCCCACCTGTCTGGGCCGTCGACTGTTTCCGGATGCCCTCAAGGGACAGACTAGCGTACAGATCCGAGGCGAATGGAAAGTCGAGCTGCCAAGCAATGTTGCGGTGGTACTTGAACCGCTTGGTGCGGAGGAAGCGTGTTGGCCAGTAGTTGTGGACCTCGTGGAATGTGTGCGAGCCAAAGACCTCTTGCTGCCACTCCCTCGCATCCAAGTGTTCCCCTCGTCCGAGTATGGACAGAAACGAGCGCCCTAGACGCTTGGGATGTGGTGGTGGCCGTGTTTCCATCGTATGGATCTGCCCTGGTGCCGCCTCCACCGGCGTGGACAAGTCTGACGGAGCACCAGCCCAGTCGAGAAACGTGGGGAGAATGTCAATGTAACTGATCAAGTTGGGGTTGCGCATCCCTGCGACCGGCGCGCCTGGCTGACGGACAATGAAGGGCAACTGTACGCCTGCGTCATAGAGAGTCGTCTTGGAGTTGATGAATGGGGGACCGTTATCGCTGCAGAGGACCACGAGGGTCGAGTCGGTCAGACCCTGACGATCTAACGCGTCGAGCACCAGACCGATGCCATAGTCAAGCCGTTCAATGGCCTTGTAGTACTCCACGTACTCTTGACGGGTCTCCTCCACGTCTGTCAGCCAGTCTGGGATCTCGACTTGATCAAGCTGTATGTTTGGCGCCGTGAATGTGCCTTTGCAGTCCTCCTGATTGCCAAAACCGCCTCTTGTCGTAATGTCCCGATGAGGGTCGACATACCCCACGGTGAGGAAGAAGGGGTTCCCAGACGCCTGAGTCTCCTTGAAGAATGCTTCCGCCCGTTGTGCCGTCCAGGCGACGTTTCTTGTCTCGCTCTCCTCGCGCACTGCCCATGGGAAGACGCTGGGCGGTCCCACGTGGACTTTGCCGATGATTCCAGTTTGGTAGCCAAGGGAGTTGAACAGCAGGGCTCCCGACTGGATATGGTCGAATGACTGGTAGTGATTGACACCGCCCATGAGACCATACTGTCCATTCTCGTGAGGGTGGAGACCGGTATACATGACGGTGCGGCTGGCACTGCAGGAAGCGGTACTGGTGAAGGCATTATCAAAGACTGTTCCCGTGGCGGCGAGCTTGTCAATGTTTGGCGTGTTCAGTCCCTTGGCACCATAGCAAGGCAAGCATTTGCCCAGGTCATCCGCAATCAAGAACAGGATGTTTCGTCTGGGCGATTCCATGGCAGAGCCCATGGTTTATGATGTTGTGAGGTGATGCTGACGGAGACTAATCTAGCAAGAGAGGCGACTAGAGGTTGTGATGCAAGAGTCTGGGAGGGGAAGTCATGCATCAACAATCCAGAAACGAGCAACCCAAAAGTCTTGGAGGCAAGACATGTGATAATAATCAAATCGAAGGCGAGGTAGTAATTGCTACTGGACGGAGCTTGATGGGTTCCAGCACCGGGGGGGGGGGGGGGGGGGGGGGCCCCCCCCCGAAACGCAAGGGAGAACGGCCCGCCAACCCAAACCGAAACAAAAAAAAGAAAAACGAAAGAAAAAAGAGGGAGGGAAGAAGCGACGACCAA